TTTTTTTGTGATCAGCTCAAACTTTTCTCATCTTAAGTGGAAAAGTACAAGTTCCAAAATTCAACATCAGATGGCCTGGCCACATGTCCTTTGTAGGACCAACCACAGTTTGGGCTTAACAGGAAAAACAAACGTGTACATTGTCTTGAGCATTGGGTCATTATGTCTCCAGAGTATCAGTAATGGCTCTCATTAGTATTCTTAGAATTATAAACAGATTCACATTTCATATTTCTAACTCCTCATACAAAACTTACATATGCACAGAAATAGAATATACACATTCAGCAAATTGTAACTTTGTCACATGATGTATTTTGCATAAAGTGTCTTTGAGTTATACATATTTATATTCATTAGCCAGTTTTCATAAAGCATGGGGGGTAACAACCAGTATTAACAGTCTTGTCATATTAACAATCATTTATAAGAACTAAATATCAGTTAGTGCAAAAAAATCTACAATATGAAATGTTATGCATCAAAAAACCTATAAGTATTGACTATAATATTCCTTAAACTGACAAAAACAGCTGTAATGACCAGAGTAATGTACCTATATTAGAGCAGAACCATTAATGTGGCTATTTTTTCCTTTGGGATTTTTTGTTACAAATCCTGATTTATATTATTGTTGTTTTTTAATAAAATATTGAAGTGTTTATTTGGTTCTACTTTAGAGTAATTGAATATTAATGCTTAGTTCTTTCTACTTGCAGAGTATTGTTACAGTTACATTTGAAATATTAGGAAACACAACTGAAGAAAATCTAAACGAATTTATTCAGGTAAGTGCTGCATAACTGTTACCCGAAAAATGTGTACTGCATCACTTGGGAAAATTACCACTTGTGTAAAGCTTCTGGTTTTTAAAGCATATTCCTATTTATAGAATCTTCTGTGGGAGAGGAGTGTGAAAGACAAGACAGGTCATCCCATGGAGGTCATAAGACTCAAGGTTAGGCTTTTAAATTTACTTAACTTTTTTTATAATAACTTCTGGTTTTTAACCTCCTTATTCCTGTCAAGGATAAAACACCCAGCCTAGCCACAGCCCTGAATAAGAGTGGTTCATAGTTGCCCCATTCTTGGGTCACTTCTTTTGAGCAGAGGAAAGGAGATATGACTTGCTTTTCAGGATGCAGTTTTTTTCTATTGCTTCACTCCTCCGAAATGGCTAAGGAGCTCTGCTGGCCAGCACATGGAGGAAGGAGACCCATATGTAGTTCCCTTTACTCTTAGCCCACTTTCTCTGGATTTAGTCAGGGGAGGCATAGTTCCAGTACTCCCACAAGCACCAACGCTGGAGTTATGGTCAGCCCTAACACAGATGTGCAAGGATGGAAGAATCCTTATTCTCTTTTATTTCTACTTTAGCGCTAGTCACAAGCTACTCTGTAGTTATCCATTTTATTAATGTTGAGTTTTCTTTACAGAAGCCCTTGTTGACAGGTTTCCATGTGTATATTTCCTGAAATATTCCTTCTCTGTGTTACCATTCCTCTGAAAGATCGCAGCCAGACCCAAAATTGCCGCTTCACTTGGAAAATTTGCCTTGGATTGTAATTATACTTCTCATCATAACTTGCAGAAATTGAAATGCACCATACAATTGGGAAAGGGGATAAATGTCAAAGTAAACACTTACCATTCTCTTCAAACCTGAAATGTTACATTTTTAAAGTGGTTATGTGAACATGGAAATATCCTATATTTGCAAGGAGTAACTTTTATTTTAGCATATATTACCTAATCTTCTATAAATAAACAACTGGTTATATAGGTAATACAGAAAATATGCATGTTCACAACTCTCTCACTGCTTTTAATAGAGTTCAGTAAAAATATGCTCAGATTTTTTTTCTGGTTACTTAATGAGAACAGCATTTTTAATAGTGCACAGTTGAGTGACAACCTAATTATTTTTTTAACTTTCAGTAATGACTATATGTGTATGGTCCTGCCACAACAAAACCAGGGCACTTTTGTTTGTCTTCAGTCCTCCTCCCTAAAAACTCGCTGATACTACTTAAAAAATATAGTCTGAGAGGAAATAATGTTGCTATGTAGCAATATATGTTCTGTATTCGCCCTCTCCCCCCAACCACATTTTACTATATTGAACACTTGAATCAAAGCAAAATTTATAATGCAGGGCTCTAAGCCTTCTTGAAATAAGTTGGGCTCCATGCAGATGTATCCCAATCATTTCTAAGATGAATGCCACCTCTTGTCCCTTTTTGCTTGTGTCCCACTTGAAATTATAATCCAATTAGACATTACAGTCATTTTAACACCAGTTAATTTGTCAGAGGATTAGGATTTCAAGCGAGGAATAAGCAGAAAGAACTGACTGACAAGATCCTGTTTTAATGCAAATGACCATATGTGTGTGTGTTACATATATATAAATAGAACTAAAACCTCTCCCTTCCTCCTGAAGAGATACTGAATATATTAGATAATCAGCAGTGTGCATAACTAGAAAGTATTACAGGGTTTTCTATTAAGTGTCAGTGAATCTTTCCAACATGAATTTTTGGCACTCAGTTTCTGTGTTGTTTTAGTCACTTCGTTATGCTGCTGAGCCTTTTAAAAATATTGACAGTTCCACACATTCATATGTCTTTGTTTTAGAATAGTAAATAGTTGAGAGCATCAACAATTTAATCATAATTATCCATAACCAGGAAACTGTGTTGTTATACTGTCTGCCTACTGTCACAGGCAACGGTGTGCTTCTCTCATTCACATATACATTGTATTAAATAAACCGGCTTTTAAGAAAGTTGAAATACAGAGGTGAAAAATTAAAAATTTTAAAATCCTGACAATTTTCCAGTTGATTCAGAAAAGATGGTTTGTACTAGCTAAGATATGTAGCATAATCTGACCAGCATCTGCCCTTCCCCCTCTTATTTGTTATACGTACAGATTGTGTTGTTTTATGTTCAAATTATTGTATTCTATTTGTATAGTGCTTAGCACAATGCGGTTCCAGTCTATATTGCAGCCCATAGGCTCTATTGTTATACTAACAATAACTGTTCTCCTGATCAGGGTTTGGTATCTATTAAAGACAAACCTCACCAGGTGATTGTCCAAGGGGTACACGAATTGTATGATCTAGAAGAAACCATGGTAAGCTGGAAAGAGGATGATGAAAGAACAAACAGATTAGTTCTAATAGGTGAGAGAAAACTACACATTTCATGTTTTGCCTGTTGTGAAAAACAGCTGACCAGACTCAGACTATAATTCTTCAATAAGTAAAACAAAGTAAATAAAATACAAGTATCCATAAATTGTATGTATCTATGAAGTTCATGTAATTAAAATGTGTATGTTTTATATATGTAGGATTAGCACAATTCAATTTTGTTCTAATTTTGATATTTGTTTATTTTTAAGTATTTTAAAAAAATGTATTTAAATGTTCATAGTTGCGTAAAATCATGGGTTTTAAGCCTTTTTCAGTTTTTAGAATTTTAAATTTTCACAGTTGTAAGACATTATGAGGTATAGGGGGTCAGGCTATTTTTATTACAATAGACACTGATATTAAAAAAAGTTAAAGATTCATAGCAGTTAAAATGTAAATTTTTAGTGCCCCCAGTGAAAGTATACACAAGTAAATATCCTTAAATCAAACTCTTCAGTTCTCAAGTGGCACTATTTTCCTTTGCCTACCTGTAAATTGTGATTATTGATGGAAATATTTTGTTGGTTTGTGTGTACAATAGCATTGACATTTACCAACATTCACCAATTTAAAAAATTGAAACCTTCCAAGCCTGTATATATGTAACTTTTAAAAAATCTACAACTAAAAATATGATTGTGGGAATGATTATAATCGAAGGTTTAAGTCCCCATAAGGAAAAAGTGTTGTTATCTTTTAGATGTATGTAATCTTAAAGGCTGATCTAATGTTTTCTTTCAGAAATGTTCATAATTAATGTTGAAATCCCATGCTTGTTTTTTTTTAATCTAAACTCCATTTTGACTCGAAAATATTATGAAGATTAATCTAGCATTTCTTACCCATTTCTCTTATTTTCTACTTTATTGTAGCCTGTTTGGAAATCTACATCTTAAATTTGCAACATGAGATTATTATAATAAACCCATGTTTTAACTCATTAGTATGTAACAGGTGTTTGTATAGATGTAGGTTTTCATTGATCTATGGATTTTTGTAGTGATATGCTGGGAAATACTCTTAATGAATTTTGTTCTCTTTACAGGCAGGAACTTGGATAAGGATATCCTTAAACAAGTATTTATAGCTACCATGACAGAGAAACAGGAAAACAGTTGACATCATACCACAAAGAAAAAGAAAAATCTGTTCTCAATACTGCTAATTTTATAATAAAGACTGAATAACATGCAGTACAGCAGCTTCATTTTGCTCTTGAAATTTTTATTCTACTGTTAAACTCCAAATGGGACATTAATAATTAAAATCCATCACTGATTATTCATAGTAAAATCATAGTAAAAACAGTCAGGTAAACATGTTGTTTAGCTCTTGTTCCCAGCCCTTTTTAGATTCTCTAAAAATAAAGATGATCAGTCACCATTTACAATTATTTTAAATGATTGTATAGCTAAAAACACCTTAATGGCAAATGTACAGCCCTGGATAAAGGATAATGTCAACATTTACATAACTACAGCTCTCAATCACCTTTTCATAGAATTGAGACCTGTAAATGACCTCTTAAATCCTCAAGGTTATGACCCTGTTAGTGTTGGAGTCTTCTATACAGGGTATTTTCTGTTTATTGTCCAAGATGTTCCGTCCGTGCAATTTCTTGCTTTTTTTTTTTTTTTTTTTTTAGAGTTGGACTTTTTTCTCTCTTAGCAGTGCATATTGTTGCCATAAAAGGATCTTAAAAAATCTAGATTCTTCCTCCAGCTTTATATGACTCCTAAGAACAACTATATTTATTAGTTTCAGGAGGATATATAAAATATAATTGGATAGGTAAATATGCAGAAGAAAATACATGCAGTTAAGAGTGTGTAAAAATGTTTAACTTTCATTAGGTTATTTTTCATCCAGTATATAATCTGTAAAATTGAAGCTTTTGGTTTAGTGCATCATTTGTGGTTTTATGAATGTTAAAGCTTCTGGGATTTTTACAGATTACAAAATGAAAGCTTTCATGCTTCAAACTCCAAAAACAACATGCTTCTTTTTAACAGAACAGAAAAGTGTTCATTGAATTTCCTAGCAGTGAGCATTAATAATACTTTAGGTAAGTCTAACATTTTACCAGTTTTGTTATATTGTATCTGTTTTCAAATTCCATTCTTTTTGTCATCTAATTTCCCCCAAAACAAATTCTGAGACTGGATAGTTCAGAGGACTTGTAATAAGATATGGAAGTTTTGGTGCAGTTGTTCAGTGATATATATGGAACAAATTGGTGGTATCAGTCCACTTCCTAATGGAAAGCTGTTTATATTCACCAACCATTTTCACAAGTTTCCAGAACGGTGAGGAAGCCACATAATTAAAAGATTGAATGAATATGGAAATGTAACATCCCTGTCACCTGAATAAATAGATCCTTGGTCAGTATTAAGATACATTGAATGGTCACCATAGGAAATTTGTCCTGCATTTTCCTGTGTGATATATGCCTGTTGACAAATAGGACTTCATTTTTCAATACTATGGATATGACATTTTTCACAAATGCTACATTCATTTTAAAATGAAAGTGAGGTATTAATACTCAGTTAAAAATGAGATAGAATCATCCATTGAAAACAACAACCTTATGATAATAAATAAGTGTCTTCTCTTTGTATGTAATGAAATAAAATAATTTTAAGGAAACACAGTTCATTTCCAAGGAATTAAGTATAGTAAGGAGAAACTTGCTTATTAGTCTTTCATTTACAATAACCTTCACCTGGTTTGCCTCAGGATAGTGTGGAAGCAGGGCTGGCCTTACCATGAGGTGAACTGAGGCGGCCACTAGGACCTAGAGCAGTGGTCCCCAATGCAGTGCCTGTGGGCGCCATGGCGCCCGCCAGGGCATTTATGTGCGTCCTCCGAGTGACCAGGGCCACCCCAAGCCATTCTTGCGCCCAGGCGCGCGGCAGGTCCAGCTCGAGCCATTCATGCATGCCCCCCCCCAGCGCACTGTGCACCTTACAGGCATGTGGTGCCTGATTACAGCTCTAAGGGGCACCATGTATCCCCGGGCACATGGCGCCTTATGGTAGCTCTAAAGGACATCCCAGAAATAGTGGCACAAACAGCACTTTTCAGCAGGGTCCACCAGAGTAAGTAAAGTAAACAGTTCATAAATGTGTGCAGCCTAATCTAACCCACTTGCAGTTCTTTCTACTTCTCAACCCCTCTTGGACCAGATCTACATTGTGGGGGTGATTGTACTTGGCTCCTCTGGAGTGCGAGTTTGTCAGCCTG